ACAAAGCCTGGATGACAGCACATCATTTGTTTACAATATGTTTTACAGAATATTTTCAGTCCATTGTTGAGACCTACTGCTCAGAAAAAAACAGATTCCTTTCAAAATATTACTGCTCATTGACAATGCACCTGGTTACCCAAGAGCTCTGATGGATATGTACAAGGAGATTAATGTTGTTTTCATGCCTGCTAACATAACATCCATTCTGTAGCCTATGGATCAAGGAGTAATTTCAACTTTCAAATCTTATTATTTAAGAAATACATTTCATAAGGCTATAGCTGCCATAGAGAGTGATTCCTCTGATGGATCTGGGCAAAGTAAATTGAAAACCTTCTGGAAAGGATTCACCATTCTAGACGCCATTAAGAACAGTCATGATTCCTGGGAAGAGGTCAAAATATCATTATTAATAGGGGTTTGGAAGAAGTTGATTCCAATCATCATGGATGACTTTGAGATGTTCAAGACTTCAGTGGAGAAAGTAACTGCAGATGTGGTGGAAAAAGCAAGAGAAATAGAAGTTGAGCCTGAAGATATGACTGAATTTCTACAATCTCATGGTAAAACTTTAACAGATGAGGAGTTGCTTTTTGTGGATGAGCTAAGAAAGTGGTTTCTGAAGATGGAATCTACTCCTGGTGAAGATGCTGTGAACATTGTTGAAATGACAACAAAGGATTTAGAATATTACATAAGCTTAATTGATAGAGCAGTGGCAGGGTTTGAGAGGATTGACTCCAATTTTGAAAGAAGTTCTGCTGTGGATAAAATGCTATCAAACAGCATCTCATGCTACAGAGAAATCTTTCATGAAAGGAAGAGTCAATCGATGTGGACAACTTCACTGTCTTATTTTAAGAAATTGCCACAGCTCCCCCAACCTTCAGCAACTACCACCCTGATCAGTCAGCAGCCATCAACACTGAGGCAAGATCCTCTGCCAGCAAAAAGATTACAACACGCTGAAGGCTCAGATAATGATTAGCATTTTTTGGCAATAAAGTATTTTTTAATTAAGGTATGTACATTGTTTTTTTAGACATAATGCTATTGCACACTTAATAGACTATAGCATAGTGTAAACATAACTTCTATATGCACTGGGAAACCAAAAATTTTGTGTGACTTGCTTTACTGCAATATTCACTTTATTTCGGTGGTCTGGAACCGAACTCACAATATCTCTGAGGTTTGCCTGTATACAAATTATAATTGTAGTGATCCACTTTTTTCCAAAACATAGATCCTAAGCTACAACTCAGAGTCAGGATAATTTTTCTTTATTAAAGATAAAGTCTCCCCCTTTCTTTGTTTTTCAAATCCATCCTTTGATGGTGTGTACATCTTGATGGCAATGTGCCCAGTGGAGTATTTCCTTTCCACTGACACTTTGTTGATCCTGAGTAGTTAATTGTGCAAACAGTGTATTTATTGCTTTCTTAGTGTTCTCTTCTGCAAGCTAACGTTACCCACTCGGGCTAGCAACCAGAAGGAGATTTTCTGGAAAACCAGCGGGAGTTCCAAGAACGGACAGGGGGCTGGAGGGCCCAGTTTGGGAAAAGGGCAGCAGTCAGGGTACTCTGGAGGCAGGCAGCAGGAACCATGCCCAGCACCCCTAGGATTGATCTGGTGTCTGAACTCCCCTGCAACTGGGATGCATCTAACTTTCAAACATTCCCTCCTGATTTGGCTACTCCCAAGCTTCAGAGTCTGAGATCAAGGATATTTGGCTGAATTTATGTCATGGCCTCCTCTTCTTGCCCTCCTTCCCATACTGTATCAGGAGTGGGTAAACGATGGATTTGGCTCCATACATTTCCATAATGGGATGCAGCAATGGGAGGCCAGCACTGGGATCTGCCCCTTTGCCAAGATTACACAAGACAGAGGATTCCACCAGCAGGAGCACGTAGTGGTTACAGTGGAGATGTGTGGATTCAAAGAAGTAAAAAAATCACAAATCTTTGTTATACAAGACTTCAGATTTTCCTCAATATCCCTGTGTTCAGTGGTGTGTAGGTAAATGTTTCACAACTGACTCTTTGGGAGATGGGGGTGGGGGATCCCTGATTTGTAGCATCCATCCATTTCTGTGGTGCAAACACCCCCACCAGTGGTCAATTTCAAGCTACTTCCATGATATCATTGAACACAGGATTGGGAAAAAATGTGCTGTAGCACACCATTATGTAGTATTTCCACCATACAGGTACAACAGAGGTAAAATAACCTCAAGTGCATAAATAATAGTGCAGTCTAGCAAAATAACCGGGAACCCTTCTTGATAATATAATTTATTTAATTGTAAGTTTATATAAGTCCTTGAGTGGCACAAATGGTTAAGCGCTCAACTGTGAGCCAAAAGGTTGGCGGTTCAAACCCACCCAGAGATGCCTTGGAAGTCAGGCTTGGTGAACTGCTTCTGAAAGGTCGTAGCCTTGCAAACCCTATGGAGCAGTTCTATTTTGCACACATGGTGTTGTTATGAGTCAGAACTGACTTGACAGCAGCTAACAACAACAACAAGAAATTTATATAGTTTAATTTTTAGTAATGGCTGTGTTTTACAACTGGCTTGCAAAATTTCTGAAAATTATGAGCCAGCTCCAGCACATCACTGCCTATGCGGTGGATCGATGTAATGGTAGAGCTAGAGAGAGAGAGAGAGGAGATATTCCATACACAGTGAGATGCTTGGTGGAGAGGCCTATGACCTGGACAAGTTTTGTCCAGTAACCTGTAACACTGGGGACCCTCAGTAATAGAATAATAATAGTATCTGAAATTTATACAGCAAAACACATTCTCACTCCATATCTTACTTATTTTTGATCCTCCCAACAAACCCAAGGCAAAGGTATACAAGGCATGTTACAGGTGAGGAGAATGAGAGTCACAGAGCTGAGATGACCCCGACCAGTGGAGCTGAGACTAGAATGGGGTCCTTGAGGCTTCCAGTTCACAGCTTTTTCCACACTATCCTGTCTCTTTCAGCCCCCTGCCATCCCTGGAACAGCCACTGACTACAGGACCATTAAATAATCTGAGATGTGCTTGTCAGGCCTAGTCCCCTGGATTCAGCCCACTGGGCTCTCAGGCATCTTCACAAACAAAGAATGAAATAAAGTTGGAGACACGACCTCAGAAAGTGGGGGACCGGGAAGTAGGGAAGAATTTTTCCTGTTACATATTTCCATGCACAGAATGAGCAATGGTAACCTGCTGTAGTCACAGCTGTGATGGTCAGACTCCAAGATGGCCCCCAGTGATTCTTACGCCTTGGTGTTCATGTCCTTGCACTCCTGCACTGAATAGGGCTGACCTGTGGATATCGCAGAAGTGATGGCACGTGACTTCTGAAGTTAGTTGTAAAGGGCAGTGCAGTTTCTGTCTTTTTCTCTTGTAACACTTGTTCTGAGGGAAGCCAACTGCTGCATTGTGAGGCCACCCAAGCAGCTGTGTGGAGAAGCCCACATGGGGAGGAACTGAGGCCTCCCAACCACCACCAGCTCCACTTGCCAGCCATGTGAATGAGGCACCTTGGAAGCAGATCCTCCAGCTCCAGACAAGCCTTCAGATAACTGCAGCCTGACTTACAGCTGATTGTAACCTCATGAGAAACCCCAAGGCTGAATTACCCAGCTAAGCCACTTCCAAGCTCTTGAGCCACTGAAACTGAAAGAAACCAATGCTTATTGTTTAAACCACTACGTCTCTGGGTGACTTGTTACACAGCAATAGATAAACTGAATTTCTCTGGTGAGCTATATACCATATGGTCTATGGGTGATTCCAATCAAACAGAGAGGCATTAGGGACCTAATGGGACACTTTAAGTAAAATGGTTTATTGGTTTTCACCAGCGAAATTGCATTTCAAGCTAACAGTTGAAAGCTTGTACAATACAACTTTTGAAATGGGTTTTATTCTTAATGCTTTTCTAAATGACCTGTTGGCCATAGGAAAATGCACTCTATATAGTACTGCGTGTATCTGCAACATTGAAGAGCAAGACAGCTTGAACTGGAATTCATTCCGACTCCATAACGTTCTCCAATAGCACTGAGTCATCTTATAGCCCTTCAGACCCCACCTTCAGTGTCATCTTTCATTCCTTTGAGTCCCCGGACCACCTGCCCTTTCGGAAATCCGGTACAGAGGGAAAAAATGAAAGAAATTAATTAGGAAGGGAGGCAGTTAGGAAACTCGCTGGATGTTGGGGACGGAAATCTTAAGATTTCCACCAGCCTTAACCGCCCCTGGGAAGCTGAGCCGGGACCTCTTCTGGTGTCCCCGCCCGCTGAAGTTCGCTGCTAGAAAAATCCGCTCGCGTCCTCAAGGGCGCAGGAGAGGATCCTGGCGAAGCGGGAGGATCCTTGCTTGCTGCGAGAGCCGCAGCGGGGTTTACACCAGCTCTTCCGCGCGTTTCCTCTGAGCTGGGGAGGACGAGCGCGGACCCCGGCGTCCGAGCGCTAGGCGAGGCGCCTTCGCGCGGGGCCGGAGGAGACCGGAGGTGGGAGCGCGGGCCGCGCGCCTCGCCCGCCAGCTGCAGCCCAAGCCGAGCGCTCGCGGCCCCCGAGCGCCGGCGCCTCCAGCATGGAGTGGGAGCTCAACTTGCTGCTCTACCTCGCGCTCTTCTTCTTCCTGCTCTTCTTACTTTTCCTCCTGCTCTACGTGGTCATCAAGCAGCTGAAGAACTCCGTGGCCAGCACGGCTGGGGCGCTCCAGCCTGGGCGCCTCTCGCTGCACCGAGAGCCTTGGGGCTTCTCCCGCGAGCAAGAGGTGTGACGCGCCCGCGGCGGGCGCTCGGTCCGGCACTCGCCGGAGCTCCAGCGGCCCGACTTGGCCGGCAAGGCTCTGCAACTGGTCGGAGGGCTCGGAGCTGCGCGGACGTGGGGCCGCTTCTCGGCCTCGCTCCTCCATCCACGCGGCCGCCGGTGTTCCAGGTGCCCGGCTGGACGACAACGCTGGCAGGTCCGTTCCGGCGCTAGGGGATGGGGAGCGGAGGGTATCGCCGATCCATCTTTCGGGAGGCTCCGGGCTTGCGGCAAGCTAGGGTGTCAGGGATGGGGTGTTACGGGATCTGGCCTGGAGCTGTGCTCTTCGGGAGGGACTCCAAGCTTTTCTAGGGAGGAGGGGAAATGAGAAGAAGGGAGAAGTTCGAACTTCGGAGCCAGAATGACTTTGGGCAGCTGTACGCCCTCTTTTCCAACGCACCTGCAATTTAGCTTGTGCTTAATGGGTAAAATCTAAATTATTCAGATAATTCAGGCCATTCACTTTCAAACAAAATCGAATGTCAACCTAAATATGCAGATTGCTGAGAAAGAGTATGTGCGATGGGACGGGAGGTCGGAGGGTGCACTTGGAGTGTAGTAAATATTGCTTAAAATATTTTTGCACTCTGGTAAACACCCCCCAAAAAAACAAAAAAACAAAACCACTGACTCATAGCGACTCTATAGGACAGAGTAGAACCTCCTCATAGGGTTTCCAAGGCTGAAATCTTTATGGAAGCAGACTGCCACATCTTTCTCCTGAGGAGCGGCTGGTGGGTTCCAACCAACACCTTTTGGTTAGCAGCCCAGCGCTTTAACCACGGCGCCACCAGGACCGTCTTAAAAAGTTAATGGGGTTCGACTGGCGGTATGGAAGAGCAGCGATATAGTGGCCCATTTTCTATGGGGGTGGGAACAGCGGGAGGTGAGCATTAGAGTGAAATCTTTGGGAGATGGCTTTGGGTTGCCCAGGGCATGAACTTTTGGGTTGTGGCAAGGAATGCAGGCTAAACCGTATTGTTTGCACAGTGTAGACAGCAGGAAAAAAGAGGATGAGAGGAGCGCATCGTGGCTTCTGGTTAAACGATTAGAGCCTTGGGGGGAAGTGTGACAAGAGCAGGATTTCTTACCAGTGTGCCCTAAGCACCCTCTGGGCAATGTTAGTTTTAGAAATAACTTCATCTTCCAGATGCTTTTTCCTAGATTTATGGCATCATTGGGCATTCTGGAATGGAGCTGCTGCCTTTGACTGGTGGATAAGGACCGCAGCTGTGGTTACAACGTGGTAGCTAGGAAGGAAAAGGCCAGAGCAACGGGAGATTGATGTAGCTTTCTGAAAATGGTAAACTGGGACTATCCATGGCTTCACTGCTTCTGTCTAAGGCTCACTTCTGAAGATCCAGGGTCTATAAAAGTGAAGGGTTAGCATGGGTAAAGGGGTACAGTGAAGTTGAAGGCTCTATTGTACTCAGAAGGATGAACTTCTATTGGAACCAAGAAGCTGATTCCTAACTCAGTGCAAGAATCAGTGCCTAGTTAGAGGATCGGGGAAATTAGAATGGGATGTGAGACATGCTTCCAATTTTAATAATCATTCTGCTCTTTTGGAAAAAAGTGCAGGAGGTTCTTGTAGTTGGAATACGTAATGCAGATACATTTTGCCACCAATTATTTTACAAGGTTGTCTGTTAAAGTGGGATAAACTGTCCTTGCTATGACGGTAATATTGAAAATTTTAGGCACAAAGGAAGACTAAGGCTAAAATCAGTGAAATACTAACTTTTGCCTAGGTTGGTAATACAGAAATACAGTGGAAGACAGTTGTGTTGGTAATTCAAGAGAAGAAAAATGAATCTCACTTGGGTAGGTACTTAGGAGAAAGTTTTTGGCCCAAGTTATTTCAGATAATTTCCCACATTTTCAATTTATTTTGCCAGGACAGACCTGTTCTTAATCAAATAAGTGGTTTATTTTAAACATAACACTGTGAGCAAATTCTTATTTATATGTACCTCTTTTTCAGAACTGTATAGTAAGACTATTTGAATTCCCAGAATCAACTGCAGTAATTCTGTATTGTACCTTGAACAATAGTTCTGTATTTGGTTAACACGTCTGTAGTGTTTAATACAGACATTGGAGAGGAGTGTGGGAGTAATTAGTTAGCAACTATAGTTGTTTACAAGGATGGAAAACAATCATTTCATACATTGTAAATATCCAGAATGAGAATTATTTTAACCACCTCCTTGGCTCCTCGCTTTTGTAATTCTTTAATCTCCCTAGCAGTGCCACTGGCATGCGGAGGTCTGACCCATCCTTGACTCTTCCTTGACAGGTGAATATAGAGAACTCAGGGTGAGTAGTTTGCTGACATCTCAGTGTTAACTCAATCTCTTGGTTCATTCTCTGACTTGGGTTCCTAAGAAATGAATGGCTGCTCTTCTAATTAGTATCCAGTTGCTATTTTATAATCTCCTTGTAATCTAATTAGTTGGTTAACGAGCTAACTGGTAACCAAAAGTTACTGGTTCAAGTTCACCCAGAAGCACCTTGGAAGAAAGGCCTGGTGATCTACTTCCAAAAAATCAGCCATTGAAAACCTTATGCAGCACAGTTCTACTCTGACACACATGGGGTCGCCATAAATGGGAATTGACTGATGGTGACTCTAATTAGTTAGTTACTGGGTTCTCGTTTATCCAGGCGACAACAACAACAGTTACTGTCAAGTTGACTCCAACTTATGGCGACCCTGTGTGTGTCAGAGTAGAAGTGTGCTTCATAGAATTTTCAATGGCTAATGTTTTGGAAGTAGATTGCCAGGGTAGACTCAAAAGTCCCTGAGTGGGGCAAACAGTTAACAAGCTGCTGATCAAAAGGTTGGAGTTTTGAGTTCATTCAGAGGATTTGACTCCAAGGCAACTGGTTATCCAGGCAACAATGAACATTTATTCCTATTACCCAACCCCTGCCTGGAACCTGGCCCTGCACTCGGAATTAAGTTCCTCATGTTCTCTGCTGCTGGTCTCCTGCTTTGCCCTGGCTTTGTTAGAGACACCTGTCTGTGGGCTGCATTTTTCTGTTCATTTGTTCCACCATCATTTTCCTAAGACCCAGCACAGACTGATCTCCCAAATTAGAACTACTTTCGAACTCACTTTTTTTGGCTACCTATATAAGTTCTTGGCCTTGATCTAATGTTCTGACGCTCACAATGGATCCGTCTAGTGTCCCACCTTTTACATGTCGGCTACTCCCTTCACTGACCACACCCTGGTTCTGACAATTTGTGTGCCCAGTCTATTTCTGAAGACTATGTAAATATGAGCTAGACATTAATGCATTTGAAAATTGCACTTGGAATTAGAAGCATTTAAAATAACTGCTCATTATATAAATGTAATTTGATTATAGAAGATTTCCATGTTTTTTTTTTTTTAATTAAAGGTTTTTAGGGACTGTTTAGCAGTGTTAGAAGCCGAGTTGAATTTCTTACATGATACAGAAATGAGCCAAAATTAAGTTATTAATAATGCTAGTATTTCATTTCAAATGTTCTCATTTCATCGTTTCTAATGAACCTGCAGTTCCACTTGGAAAGATGACCATTTTACGTTGCAGGGGAATGACATCACACTCACACCTGCAAAATGGAAAATGTCTAATGAAGTGGATCCCTATGTCTGAACTTCAGTTTTAGAGCACAGCTGCAGATGCAGGACCGATGCCATCTGGTGTGATTCCACAGACGACGAATATGGCAGGGAGAACATTTACCCAGAGTGTGCCATGCATGGGCTTTTCTGGGAATGAGAAGGTGCCAGGATTTGTTTTTGGTTCACTTGCAGGGGCAGAAACTTGGAAGTAGATGAGTAAAAAACATACAGTACCCTCGTTTAGCACTTGACTTTCCCGGTTTCCAATCTTGTCTATAGTTACAAAGTAAGTGCAATAGATTTAAAATTTTTTTAAATCATCGAAGACATAATTTAGAATAGTGGGAAATGTTTATTTTTTCTAAGTTATACTTACTAATCTAGGGACTTCTAGAATACTGGAAGTACCTATATAATGTGGGTACCTTAGAATACCAGGAGTCCTGGTGATGCAGTGATTAAATGCTCAGCTGCTCACCAAAAGGTGAGTTGTTCAAACCACCAGCCGCTCCAAGGGATAAAGATGTGGCAGCCTGCTTCCATAAGGATTCCAAAACCAAACCCAACCCACTGCCATCAAGTGGATTCCCACTCATAGCGACCCCATAGGGGGCCAAGGCTGTAAATCTTGTTAGCAGTCCATTGCTTTAACCAATGAGCCACCAGGCTCCTTTCCAGAAAGATTACAGCTTTGGAAACCCTATGAGACAGTCCCTGTAGGGTTGCTATGAGTCAGAGTCCACACAGTGGCAATGAGTTTGTTTTTTGGTTTAGTATAGTAAAGGTACTATGAAAGTAGTATTTGGCATAGTGGTTAAGAGCTTGCCTGCTAACCAAAAGGTCAGCAGTTCAAATCCACCAGCTGCTCCTTGGAAACTCTATGGGGCAGTTCTACTCTGTCCTGTAGGGTTGCTATGAATTGAAACCGACTCAACAACACTTAACAACAACAACAAAGGTGCTATATACTTTAGAATATTAAGAGTATATCTCTGCAGAGTACTGTAGTTTTTAAGAATTTTTTACAGCTACTCTGAGGTATTTGTGCTTATTTCAGGTGAAACTACAATGATCATTAGGATCATTAGGCAATCACTGTCAGGTCTCTGTGTCACGCACAAGGGGATATTAAAAATTGAACTGTAGATCTTTGATATAGAGATTTTTTTTGTTTGAATCAGTGAAAGAAATCTCTCAATTCTTTATTTCTTAATTTGTCTACATAAAATAAAGTGATAGGTTTAAATAGTGATCTGATTAATTACATGAGTAGTTAGCATCTTGCCGTACAATTATTTGCATAATCAGAAGGGCAGACTAGTGTTTGGCAGAGTAATTAGGACATAATAAACACTTAGGAAAAAACTTCTTGATGAATTAAGCAAAAAAAAAAAGCCCCTCTTGTTTTCCTAAATAGCAGCTCTTTTACATTTCCTCCACTCTCTCCTTGGCCTGAAAAACCCTGGTGGTGTAGTGGTTAAGAGCAATGGTTGCTAACCAAAAAGTTGGCAATTCAAATCCACCAGGCGCTCCTTGGAAACTCTATAGGGGCAGTTCTACCCTGCCCTATAGGGTTGCTATGACTTGGAATTGACTTGATGGCAGTGGGTTTGGTTTTTTTTTTTTTTGGTCCTTGGCCTGTGGGCAGACGTGTGGGTTCAAGCTAAAATCTTTATACTCAATCTTTGTTTTGTAACTATCACTGTATGAAGTTACTTGAACTTACTGAATATGTACCAATCCTTCAGGCAAGATATTCTTTACTTTCAGGGAGAAATCTCACTTTCCTGTTGGGAATCAAGACAGATTGCTATTTTGGTAATAGAGCAGGAAATGACTGGACTGCACAGTGGCTTAAACAAATCAGGGTTTTCATTTTTTCTCATGTAACAAGGAAGTCAGGGTAGGCAGCTGCTGGCGTTGGTTCAGCATCTCACGGATGTCAGAGTAGAAATGGCTGCTGAGGTTCTCTTGGCTTTTTCCTCTAGGTTCCAAGATGGCAGCTACAGCTCCAGGCAAGAAGAAGGGGGAAGACCAAAGGCAAAAGAAGGGCACATCAGTTGAGTCTGCGTTCTCTTAAAGAACTTTTTCAGCAATCCAAGAATTTTCACTGACATCTCAATGGTCAGAATTGTCATTGACTACTGCTATCTGCAAGGTTGCCTGAGAAATGTAGGGTCTTTTTTTTTTTTTTTAAGCTGGACATATAACTTCCATTAACAAATTGGAGCTTTCTTGGTAAGGAAGAAGATGAGAATAGATATTAGACAACCAGCAGTCTATGCCATGGTTTCAAAATGCAGCGGGAAAGGAGCATAATGTCTGAAATAGATAAAAACTATAGCTCCTTCAAAGTACTGAAACTGCATGCACCGCTAGTCAGCTCTGCGAGAGTGAGCTGAATAAAGACACCCTAGGTTTTCTCACAAAACATTCGACAGGATTGACTTTCTCTCGCAGCTGTTATACTTGCCCCATATCAGGATTTTTTAGAGGAGAACCCTTGGACCTGCACACTTTGGTGGTGGACATAATCTCTTTAGCTTGGTGGAGGTTTTGGGATAAGTACTGCATCATTTCTCTATTTCCTAATTTTCCTGTCAGTTACATTTTTGGTGGAGTCCAGGTTTGTGTCTTCTGTTTCCATAAAAAGATCATTCCCTGTCGTGCACCGGGGTGGGTAATCTATGCAAAGAAAGGCCACCCTACTCCCTCCTGTGACTCCACACTGATCCAGGAATATCCTGGGGAGAAGATTTGCCTCTCAGTGCTGCTTCCATAAGCAGCCTACATCCTGGCTAAGCAAAGGGAGAAGAAACACTTCCCACATCCAGGGCTGTCCAAAAGAACTTTCTGTGATGACAAAAATGCTCTATATCTGCACTGTTTAATATGGTAGCCGCTAGCCCCATGTGACTAGAGAACCCTTGAAATGAGGCTAAGGTGACTGAGAAAGCAGATTTTTTATTTTAACTTAAATTTGTATAGACACATACGGCTAGTGGCTACTGTATTGGACAGCACAGAACACATCCTTCTCTTTCACGTGTTTCAGAGTTAGCTGGGCAACGTTGGGCCAGTCATGTGCTTGGTGTCACGTGGTCTTCACTACTCCATCTTGCCATTGCACCTATCTCCCAGAGAAAAAAGAGAAGTGGTATTTTGGAGCTAAATTCACGATGTTAACTTGACATCTTTAGATTGCACCTATTCCTGTGATAATGAACAATCTCCTGAGAAGAGATAGGTCCTATGATTGATTTTAGTGATAATTAGCTGTGGAAAAATGGCCGTGCTGGTCCGCTTAACCTTCCTAGTGAACATTGCCTGTTTCCAGTCGGAGACTCAGCAGAGATTATGCTGTTCTGTTGTGCAAATCGTTACTTGATTTTCGTAATACTGTGGCTGCTAAATGATTATTTTGTGTATGTTTTTCAAAATACTTAGTGGTTTGTATTTTTCACAAGGCTATGAAATTAAAAAGGTATGTAACTCAATTCTTTTGTTTGAATTATTATTAGCCATACTTTGTTAAGAGTTAATTACAGTGAGATTAATGGATAGAAGGAAATATTTATATTCGATTTCCTTTTCATTGGCCAAGACTACGTGCCAATACTATATGCCAATTACCAGCGTCTTTTAAAAATATTAAGTGATTCTTCTGTTGTACTCAGAGTTTGGGTAAAGTGTGAGGGCTGGGGTGGTGGTAGATGATTTCTTTTCACTAGTGTCTGGTTGGTTTGCCACGCTGAACACTGTTTGGACTTTGTTTCTCTGCAAGTGCTCTGTTTTGGCACGTTTGTCTTTTATTATCGAGTTGTAGAAATTCTTGATAGATCCTAGATACCATTACTTTATTAGATATATGCTTTGTGAATATTTTCTCCCAGTTTGTGTCTTTAAAAGAGCAGTTTTATATTTTGAAGTCTATTTTCTTTTAGGTTTATGGATTTTTGTGTTCTCTCTAACAGAGTTTTGCCTACCCCCAGGTCACCAAGAATAGTCTGTCATGCTTTCTTGTAGACTAGAAGCTTCATGGTTTTAACTTTCACTAGGCCTTTTATCCATCTAAAGGTCCTGTGTGGCGCAAGCAGTTTGTGATCAGCTGTTAACCTAAATGTGGTTCAAACACACCCAGCCGCACCATAGAAGAAAGGCCTGGCAATCTGCTTCTGTACAGATTATAGCTATGAAAATCCTATGGAGCAGTTCTACTCTAATATATAGGGTTGCCATAAGTCAGAATCAACTCAGTGGCAATGGGTTTTGTTTTGTCTTTGGATTATTGTTGTTGTTAGGTGCTGTTGAGTTGATTCTGACCCAAAGCGACCCTGTGTACAACAGAACCAAACACTGCCCGGTCGCGCCATCCTCACAATCACTGTTATGCTTAAGCCCATTGTTGTAGCCACTGTGCCAATCTGTCTCATTGAGGGTCTTCCTCTTTTTTGCTGACCTTCTACTTGACCAAGCCTAATGTCCTTCTCCAGGGAATGAGTGCTCCTGACAACACGTCCCAAAGTATGTGAGACATAGTCTCACCATCCTTGCTGCCAAGGAGCATTCTGGTCGCACTTCTTCCAGGACAGATTTGTTCGTTCTTTTGGCAGTCCATCGTATGTTCAGTATTCTTGGCCAACACCACAATTCAAAGGCATCAATTCTTCTTCGGTCTTCCTTATTCATCATCCAGCTTTCATATGCATATGAGACGATTGGAAACACCGTGGCTTGGGTCAGGCTTACCTTAGTCTTCAAGGTGACATCTTCGCTTTTCAACACTTTAAAGAGGCCTTTTGCAGCAGGTTTCCCCAATGCAATGCGTCCTTTGATTTCCTGACTGCTGCTTCCATGAGTGTTGATTGTGAATCCGAGTAAAATGAAATCCTGGACAACTGCAATCTTTTCTCCATTTATCATGATGTTGCTTTTTGGTTCAGTTGTGAGGATTTTTGTTTTTTTATGTTGAGGTGTAATCCATACTGAAGGCTGTGGTCTTTGATCTTCATCAGTAAGTGCTTCAAGTCCTCTTCACTTTCAGCAAGCAAGGGTGTGTCATCTGCATAATTGTTAATGAGTCTTCTTCCAATCCTGATGCCCCATTCTTCTTCATATAGTCCAGCTCTCCGATTATTTTCTCAGCATACGAATTGAATTAGTATGGTGAAAGGATACAACCCTGACGTGTACCTTTTCTAACTTTAAATCACGCAGTATCCCCGTGTTCTGTTCGAATGACTGCCTCTTAGTCTATGTACAGGTTCCTCATGAGCACAATTAAGTGTTTTGGCATTCCCATTCTTCATAACATTATCCATAATTTGTTATGATCCACATAGTCCAATGCCTTTGCATAGTCAATAAAACACAGGTAAACATCCTTCTGATATTCTCTGCATTCAGCCCAAATCCATCTGACATCAGCAATGATATCCCTGGTTTCACATCCTCTTCTGAATCTGGCTTGAATTTCTGGCTGTTCCCTGTGGATGTACTGCTGCAACCGCTTTTGAATGCTCTTCACCAAAATTTTACTTGCATGTGATATTAATAATATTGTTTGATAATTTCCACATTTGGTTGGGTCACCTTTCTTGGGAATAGGCATAAATATGGATCTCTTCCAGTCGGTTGGCTAGGTAGCTGTCTTCCAAATTTCTTGGCATAGACGAGTGAGCACTTACAGTGCTGCATCTGTTTGTTGAAACATCTCAGTTGGCATTCCTTCAATTTCTGGAGCTTTGTTTTTCAGTGCAGCTTGAACTTCTTCCTTCAATACCATCAGTTCCTGATCATATGTTACTTCCTGAAATGGTTGAATGTCGACCAATTCTTCTTGGTATAATGACTCTGTGTATTCCTTCCATCTTCTTTTGATGCTCCTTTGGATTATTTTTGGGTCTTCTTTGGGACTTTGTATTATCCATCTTGAATTAATGTTTGTGTTCGGTATGAGGTAAGGATTAAGGTTCTTTTATTTATATATTTTCTATATAGATAAAGTTTTTTTTTTTTTCATTTGTTAAAAAGACTTCCTTTTCTTTATGTATTGCTTTGGCACCTTTGTCACAAATGAAATGACTTTATAAGTGTGAATCTATTTCTGGGCTCTCTATTCTATTACATTGGTCCAATCTGATGCCATTACTTCACTGTTTTGGTTACTGTAGCCTTATAAGTGAGACTTAGTATTCACCATAAAATCTTACTGATCTGAACTTTTTAATAAACTCCTACTCAAAAGCTGAGTCTATGCACAAAAAAGACTTGAGTAATTTCAGTTGAAAATGGTTAAATTTAATAAGAAATCCTCACCCTGACACCATGCTTCCTTTATTCTGGCTCCTAGCTGTACCCACAATCAGAGTCAAATGGGATGCTCTGCTGCCCTACCTATCCTGTCAAGTAGAGAATATGCTCTTTTCTGTTATTATAGTTGAGAGCAAATTGTACTTCTTAAAAGGAACTTTTAAGTGAGACAGAACTAAAACACAGAAGCTCATGAGTTGTTAGAGCTCAAGCTTCTTACCAGCTTAAGTCTAGCCACAGACTGGACTGCCTAGCTCAAATTTCAGGACATCCATTTTGATTTTTTCCCCTCATCTTAGTAGTGTCTGACATTTGAGTAGTTGAATACTGGATCATGTTTCTTAGACATTTATCTGGGAGTGGTTTGATTGTCATCAAATCACATTTCAAGCCCCCTTTTACTTGCATGTAATTTCCCAGACACACTGTTCTTGTCTGTTACACATCTCAACTTGGAATGCATTGCAAATTTTAGATCTATAGAAGAAAAGTTGTTTTAAGTCACTAAATTTGGGATAGTTTGTTACAGCAATAGTAACAAGCATATGTCTTAAAAAGTTTTAATGAAAATAGATAAAATCATTGTCATGGATTGAATTGTTTTCCCCTAAAATATGTGTCAACTTGGCTGGGCCATGGTTCCCAGTATTGTGTGATTGTTCACTATTTTGTGATCTAATGCAATTATCCTATGTGTTTTAAATCGTAACCTCTATGATGTTTCTGAGGCAGGATCAGAGGCAGCTGTGTTAATGAGGCAGGACTCAATTTACAGGATTAGGTTGTATCTTGAGTCAATCTATTTTGATATATGAAAGACAGACTCGAACAGAGAGAAGAAGAACCTCATACCAC